GACTTCAAGTTATCATGCGACAGCATTACGTTTCATTCGATCACACTTTCTAGCATCAAAACATCACGTTTTGTTGAGTGGTATCAAACTTGCATGTTTTAGGTAAAACTGCTATATTTATGCAAGGATGGAAACTAACTGTACACTAATTAACTGTTTCCGCGAGACCTCCACTGTGTAGTAGATTTCACTTTTGCATGATGTGATTGTTCAGTTGTAATTTAAATGCTATATAAATCTAGGTTTTTTGTGTAGTGCATCAGTCTTGTTCTAGGTTTTCAAATAATACGAAAGGCATATCAAAAGCGACATTTTAAGATGAACTACTCACGAAATTTTGAGAAATATTCTGTCACTGTATCTACTAATTATCATGGATTCATACTTGTTGAAATATTTCTTAACTTTTTTTCACATTTAGTGTATTATCTGTTTATATTCGGCTACAAACCACTTCATACAGACCACAGAACACCTCTCTACTTGTGCCTCCCTCCAGTCAATTCATCCCTGCATCAAAATGCAACCTCCCAACCAATCATAGTCGGTCATGCTGGTGCTGGTGTAAAACGTGCACATCATGGTAAAGGGCTTGAATGGCCTGAGAACACAATATGCGCCTTTCGACGTGCTGAGCAACTTGGAGTAACAATGGTGGAATGTGATGCAAATATCACAAAAGATTCTGAAGTCGTTTTACACCACAACTTCACACTAGGAGTATGTGAGCAACCGAGAAAATCTGAAAACGATCCACCAACTTTCATTTTGGAACATAAAAGTAAGTTAGTTTCTCCTAGTTTACTGGTTAAACTGTAATTTCTTTTGAGGATTATTAGTGTCGAGTCCAAATTATCTTAGACAAGGAAGTAGCAATAACTTATTGCAACAGCATCAGATCATAGAAAAATGTGGATTAGTAAACTGAAAGTACTTTACTTATCAAATAGATACTGCGTCTGACGAGCCTGAGGAAGAAACTTTTTTTATTATCTATTTAGATTGTTTTTGATACTATAAGATATATATATTCAACAAGAAGTACAAAGACCAACGTAAAGTAACACGGTCCACACTTCCATTGCTTAAACAGTGTTATCTTTAGGAAAACTTCTCTATGGTCTCTACGGTCTATGTTTGCATTTTTACGTGATATTAACAGCACGTTATTTAAACTGGTTTAAATAAGTTAATTAGATGAATCTATAGCAATTTTTGTCCCTCTGGTACAGGATTAATGAAAGCAATCTTTTTCGCCCGATTCACCTTGAAAATGAAAGCAGCAAAAGAGATGAGAAAAAACTGTAGCAATAGTGATTATAGTAGAAACCTTTAAATACGAAAGGGATTTTGTTTCGTGTACCTTTTAAAGTCGTTTTTCACCAGTGCTTGTTTGTAATTTTTATCTGGGTTGTCCTACCTTTTATGTTTAAAGCTGATGGTGTAGTAAATGAAAATAGCACAGATCTGATTGTGAACTACCAATTATCTGAAATTCGCAACTTGTTGAGAAAGGTCAATGGAACGATCGGTAGTGCAAACATTATCCAAAGTCAGTATCCTAGTCCCTCAACAATGAGTGATCCTATTCCAAATATTCATGGTAAAGAGGCTGAACCAATACCGTTATTAAAAGACGCATTCTACCAAACTTCCACAAACCTAAGCTTTAACGTAGAGCTAAAATATCCCATAGAAACGCCATATAATCTAATTGCTGAAGCATTAATTAAACATGAACCTGTCGAATCTTCTTTACCAACACCGTCCTCATATTTCTATAAGATCAACAAATTCTGTGATACAATATTAGATGTAAGTAATTTAGTATATCTCGGATTTTTCTCTAAAATGTTATTTATTTAGTCTGTTGTCTCGGTACAGTAGACCTTACGGAATATTTCAGTGATTAAGATTCTTATCACTTTATTCAGTACGTTAAAATATCTTTATTTGGCCTGAGAAGATATAACAAGTAAATATTAAAGCTCAGAGGAAACCACCCTCAGCAGAAAATCCCCATTACGACTGACGACTTCTTTCGAGAACACTTCGTCACTGGTGAGCATAATAAAACTGAATTTTGATAATTCTTTACATCCCATAATAAATCAGTACCAAGCGACTGATAAACTCGATTTTTTTTACTTCATCAGTTCGAGAATCTACTTTACTAAATTAATGTTTCGTAACTTATTGTGAAATTAAGTAGCGATATGTAATAAAAATTTTATTCACGTATTTATCAAGTCATTGTGACACTTCAAATGCAACAGTCCTCATAAAAAACCTTAAATAAAGGTTATTATGTTTACTAGTGATTACGAGAGGTAGTTCTGAATGTAGTGAGGAGCTGTGACCACATATCCAATCTAGCTCAACGTAAAAGAAATACTACTAATGACAAGGGTTTGAACACCATCCCACGTAAATCAGTTTGGGCGACCGGTACCATCATTACCCCTCACGCTTGGAGTGTGGCTCACACCCAAGTACCTGCTAAATGAGTTAATTTAATTACAGAAACAATGGCCCAGACTGATACTTGCCGAATTAACTAAACTTATAGACATCATCCTTTGGATGCCAACTCAGCAGCCATAAGCTTAGTAAGTACTTCCTGAGAGATCGAAAGGTTGGTTCCACTTCAAACAGTCTCTAATTCGAAGTTACACTAGATACAATTGGTTGATAGACCACTTAGCACACTGAATCGCGTATCAGGAAATAAATGCTGGTTAAGCTTTAATTGCTAGTCTTTGTGATTTCAAGACAAAATTTTGATTTGATTTGTTGATAAGCACAATTTATCGTAAAAATAAAATTAACCTTTGGTGCTTTTCAGTTTCCCTACAACCCGTATTACTTATCAAACAATAGCAACAATTGTTTTTTTCCCTTAACAGACAATATGGTTAAATGCTGGACCCAGATACGTTATACTATCTTCATTTAACCCTGACGTATGCTTAACTTTAAGGTTAAAGCAATCTTTTTTTCCAGTCTTGTTTATTTCCCGTGGTGGTTATCCAAATGATAGTAGTCACAAGTCAGATCCACGACACCACAACATATTCTCTGCAATAAGTTGGGCACATATAATGAACTTAAATGGGATTGTTACCGTGGGATATCATTTCGGTTCGACAAATGATGTGGATGAAAGGCAGCTCAAATATCTTGAAGCGGATTTAGAGAGTAAACAGCTATCCTGTTTTGTGTATGGTGATGGTGTGTCTGAAATCCGTTTTTATAGAAAAGCATCACAACTTAACTTGACTGGAGTAATCGTTGATCGGTTAGATGAATTTATGCATATGTACCATGAACAATGCAAAACAAGTACGCAATTAGAGTCTCCAAACCTTTAATTAATTTCATGAATTTTAAACATATATATTTAATTGATAGACAGTAAATTTGTACAATTAACTTTTTCTGTAAAAAATGTTTACTGGTATAAAGACAATTTAGTTAAAGATCACATGTATATTTAGTTACGTACTTTTTTTGTGTAGTACGTAAAAGTTTGTACATAAAAATCTCAACAAACCTCTAAGAAATATTTACATATGGAAAGCAGAAGTTAGTGAACGTAAATAATTGGAAGTTTAGATGCATTGGAAGACTACTTTATCACACAAGGCAACTGCTAATGCTTTTGGGCACTTTTGATTCGATCTAGTCTTCGTTTCAAATCCATTAGTTCAGTGGTGGACATAGTAGGCCTTTGTTCTGTTTCAGGTCGAATATTTTCATCAGGAGAATCACCTTTTGGTTGAACCATATTCTGAAGAATAAAATTTTATTTGTTATGCATAATTTAAAGTTAATCTCTATATGTGAACAGCGAAAGTAATCCTTCACCAGAAATCACCAATAAATCTTGTGCTATTGCTGAAAACTTCGATTTCAAATCACTGTTTTGATAATACAGATGATCAGTTGGAGACCGTAGCGAAGATCTATCACACTACATGTATACTCAGATAATAAACCTCAAAACTGCTACAGTAAGCTATAACAAACAGACACTCGACAATTATACGTTAGTTGTTGCACTACTTCACATGTTTCTACATAAGCAGTTGAATCCAAATGAATATGAACGAGAAGAATAATTCTACATCAAAGTTTCAGAAATAATTGCAACTAGTTCAGTTTAGCTTTACCCAGCTCAGTTTTGGTAGTTATTTCGTAGTCTTTGTAATTGCAAGTAGAGGTCAGTACAAATATTTTTTTTCAACTTAATTTGCACGACTGTTAGTAAACATGGGTTCAAAGTCTGATCAAAACACACTATTTAATAACAAATTTTAAAAACCGCAACTAGTTCACTGGAGCAAAATTTGTGTGGAGTTCATACAAATCCTGTTAAATTTGTTGTACACTTGAAATTAGTGACATCCATGTTCAAATTTAATGATAATTTAGAAATGAACGTCGATAAATGACGATTGAATCAAGTAATTTTTATGACAATTGTGTTTAGTCGAAACCTGTTATTTTGTGTTCAGTTGGGAGTACTTCCTTACTGGTTTTTGTTGATTGTTTGAAAGTGCAAGAAGCATAACCAATACATTTTTACTTTTGAAATGCACACGAATCTAATCAGGTCTCGCAAAGCTACTTACTTTTGAAATAGACTTACTCGAAGAGTTGTTTCAAAGGCTGTATTTTGTGAACCAGCTTCATCAGATGGCCCAATATTATCATCAATGTTCGTTGTGGATACACCACCAAGACCCAGTTCTCTTCGTAGCATCGCCAATCGATTCATAAATACTTTGGGATCAGTTAGTTGGCCATTAGAAATATCTGCATCAAAATCTGGATTCCAATTAGGACGCGCTAAAATGCCATTAGTCTGTCAAAAAATAAGGACAGTATACTAGACACGAAATTTGGAATCAACACAATGATATCAGTATATAGGTAAAAAGCATCATTATAGAATTTACTGTATGGCCGCAGTGTTCCGACTTATCTATTCAAGCATAACAGCTTATGAGCTTATTGTTTAAAGTGAGTAAAGCAAATATCTATTTCATTGAGCAACAACTGATAGTAAGATAACTTCTACTATCGGACAAGAGATTTTGGGGACAAAGGTTTCTAATTTGGTAATCAAAAACAGATTTGTGTATGTACGTTCAATCTTTAGTCTCATTTTCTTGTGCACTCTTGTGATTGTTTGCTTCTTTTCGTTCACCTTATGTTCTTATGTAACCATGATGACTAAGGGTATCCCCGTCTATTCAAATCGATGTAGGCGGGGCAAGGTTCCATAAGGTAACTCGTGAGTTGACTTTACCGCTGGGCAAACGTCCCAGATTGAAGACTATCAACAAGAGTGAAGTCTTGTAAACAAATCCCTCAACCAGATCGTAGTACATCTTTTAGTTTTTAAGAGAATAACTAAAAAAAAGTAACTAAAGTACTTACTTGATGAGCTGCTAATGTGTTTGGTTCTTTATCATTTACACTTAGTCTAGCCTGACGGGCGCGTTCAACAGCTATATTTCGTAAAGCTTGTTTTATGTAGGCTTGGAAAAATTGGCTTGTGTTTGTTAAGTATGACGATAAGTCTACATCTGGATAGAGCTGAGTGAAATCGTATAGTTCATTTAAACCCTAGTGAAAAAATAGAACGTGAAGATAGCACGTGTGAATGAACTAATGATAATAATGATTTTAATATGAACATCTATTGACCTGTATTAAATGTAACTATTTAAGACAGAGAGCCAATGAAACAATATAATAACATATTTTTTAGATTCAAAATTAACGTGAATAAAATATTTACTCGACTGGAACAGGGTTATCGTTGAGATATTAGATTATGAAAAAAACATGATGGAAATGTGCTATATTAATAGAATTTAAGGAGACTCAACAGCTAGTTTCTTACATATAGATGAAAATAGGTTACCACAGAACTCAAGTCAACAGTAAGATGTGAGTTAATCGGCTGTTCTGTATTCCGATATTTAAATTTCCTGGGCATTAGGAAGTTCGGTTTAGTGGGTAAATATCTGTTTGATTATTTTGGTTGCATATTCAACAATCAACTCAACTAATATAGCCAGCAACTGTTTAAATACTTACATAAGATAGTCGGTTAAATAAATGAGTACTTACTTCATCAGGTTTCTTAGATCCGACCTTTTTGAATATTTCGGTTAATTTCTCACGAGTTGCAGTAGAAAGTACAAATCCCTATGAAAATATAAGTGTTTTCTAAATTACAAGAGATCAATCAGTTAAAAAATCACAATACGAGCACTGTACATTTTGGCAATTACTAAAAAATGGTTCTTCAACAATCTACGCAGACTTCCACTCACTCACAATACGACCATTAGTAATATGAAACACTAGCAAATAGCTGCTCGGAAAATTTATTCTTGGTATAACGGATGGCTTGAAATATTTTTTTTCTCCCAGGTATAATACTACAATAGGTAAATACGATAATGAGATCAGTCATGTTATATCAGAATCCAGGATTCATGAACCAGAATAACACTAGATAATACTTTACTCAATGTAGTCACACTCAGTGAGTCCGGGGTAGAAATCAATGAGAGAAAAAGGAATTGCATATTTAGTAGTCAGTAGGTTATGCATGTTTGTTCAAGCTCAGTGACTGATCATATTTTATCTTCACTAAAACAAACCAATTCTCCAAACGTTAAAACACTTTAAAAACATGTAAATGGTGACAGAAAGTAACAAAACCATCTAAAAATGCTTGTACTAAACAGTATAAGATTTTTCGTTGTTATTCTTCAAATGAGAGATATTTAACGTGCTAAAAATAACAAGTTTCGCAGTAAAGATCTATTTGCGAATGAAAACTAAGACACCTCTTCTCGACATTTATTGTAAATGGAGATAAAGAAATCTCAAAAACAAAGAGGATCGTGGATAAACATTTTTGAGTAGGAAATATCTATATTTATGCTGACTGTGAACCTTCATGTTTTCTACTTTGACAACAACATATGGAAAAACAGCAAATCCATTTGCGCTTAACAGTCTTTAGTCATAATATTTTCAAATAACAAAATATTCAATCTATGTGTATATGAAGACAATAAATTCCGCTTACTTTTGAATGACTTTCAGAGGCCAGTATTTTTTTGGAATCAGAGGTAGTTGTAACTCCTGAAGTAGTTTTTAGTGTGCGAATAAGGTAGGACTCCAGTTCTGAATCTTCCTATTAGTAAGGAAAAAAGTGTGGGTACATACTAAAGATACTTTGAAACTACTTGGTACTTTCAGAGAACCAAAACAAACTAAGTAACATAAGTATATAGCATAACTTGCTCCTTCTATAGCCAACCAATTTAATACTTCATTGAGTTCCCCAAGTGTAGGGATTATATTGGATCAGAGGTATTTAGCTAAACAAGTCGATAGATCCAGGAATTTCAAAGGTTATATTGAAAAGCCACTTGATTTATGGAATGAGAATCTGATGTTTGTAAAATATACAACCATAGCAAATTCAAGTTTACTTCTGTTGAAGTGAATTTAGGATGGGCATATACACAATCCACTAGGAAATACCAACATTTTAGTACCTATTGTAGCAACCCATTCAACTATTGTATTATTTGTCTACTCATTGCAATTCAGACTATGTTAATTTCTATGTGTGTATGATTGAGCGCGTGTCTGCACATCAACCTTAATCTATTGTTCTATTGGTTGTAACATACAGATAATCAATAATTTATCCACACTTGATTGACACTCAAAAATATATATGGACTTTCAACTCTCACACACACTCTCGTGGTTTCACAGGGTGCTTGCTCGCTGTACGCTTGTGGACTTATCTTTAACAATAAAATATCTCTACAACTGGTGTTCAGGCTTCTGAATAATCTTGAGTAAATCCATAATTCTACCTTAAGTATTCAGTTAACGAGATATCATTTATTGGAGTCAGATATAGAGGAATTTAAGCCTCAACAATATACATTAATATTGGACCTCAGGTGATAAAAAATTGCTTGGCATATTGCTTAAAAAGTTTTAATTGGTGATCTATTTGAATTAATTTGAACAATACATGAAGAGAGTAATAAAATGAAGTAGTTTTACTAGTACAGGTCGAGAATAGTTAAAAATCCGACCAAGATTAAGAAATGTTCAAGGGGTTTTTTTCTTCTACGATTATTCAGTAATAAATGTTCATGAAGAAATGTCGAGATTAGGGAAAAACAGTAACACAAACAGAGGATGCTAAGTTTGTTTCTGGGTTGACACACAAAAGACGCAATATTACAATATACCGTGTTCTTTAAAAATTTTGAGTTTAAAAATGTAGCTTTTAAGTATCTTAGGGTTAGATTAATTTTAAGCTCTATAACAAAATATACGAATGCCCAAAAATACCTACCTTATTAGGTATACTTTCTAGAAACTGTAAAATTGATGGACCTTGGAGGCCACATAATACATGCAATAGGGTTTTGATTGTTCGTAAAGGAACATCTGATTTCCGTGCACTCCATGAGGAAGGTGGGAAAGCTTTTAAAAAATGATGACAGTCCAGAAGTATGACATCCACAGAGTAATTATTAACTGATGCCGACAGAAAAAAAACAGTATGTAGTTTAATTCTTGCTTTCAGAAATAGAGAAATACTGAAGTTGAATACAACAGATTATGAACATTAAATTATCCACACAAACAAGTGAAAAAAGAAGCAAAATTAGTTGTATAAAGTAGGTAACAAACGAAAAACCTTACAATGGGAGTAACAAATTTTTATAGGTACATATTTTGTAACATATCGGAGCGTATAAATGCATGTAGTATTTCTTAAAATTGAATTGGATAGCAAAAAGAGTGCGTTAAGACTATCGACTTCTTAAATTTATTAACCCAAACCATGTAAATAAGGTTATATATTTTAATCTCATATATAAGTAGTGTGACTCAGTATTAATTGGAATCCCCGGACCAAAATAGTAAAAAGCTGATTCAGATGTTCACACAGAACAGCAAGTAAAGACAATGGTTGTTCAACGTCAGGTCTGACAAACCACACACGAATGTGATGAAAAGTAAAGGGTCAATACTACTAATGTTGTAGATTATGGTTCTGAATTTCCTACGTACGTATTTTAGTTGATGTGATATATGATTCATAACAACTAGCTGTCCACAAGACAGAATTATTGAGTCAGTCAGCAACAACGTACAGAGATATAATTGTCGATTCAAATCCCATAGTGGTAGGGGTAGTAAAAGTATAAGCAGAAATAGGAAAGATTAGGGTTTGAAGATGTTATTTAAGGAGTATAATCCAATGAAATTATTAAGTGATCTCCAATCCAGATCAAAACGATAGTAAAATACAACATAAATGTCAGGAAAGGAATTTTCTTTCTAGAAAAATGACTAGATTGTTCGAAATGTATAGCGCAAATACATCATATCATTCAGATAAAACTCCGTCTGCTCATTACTTACTTATTTACTTACGCCTGTTACTCCTAATGGAGCATAGGCCGCGGTCTGCTCATTCCTTTATCGAAATTTATGAAAGGGACTACTTGTTTTAAATTTCTGACAATAAATATTGTCAAAAAGCAATCAAGTTATAAGTGGATGTAAGTTATGCGTTTTGATCGATTATATATTTCCACTTGATGCAATGAAATTAAGATCTAATAACATAGACTAGTAATTGTTATCTTTGCCAATCAATTACTATTACATAATATGAAAACAAAGTTTGCCGTAAATGGCTTAAATCTTAGCATACATAAAAAGTAAGTTAAAAGTGAAAGTGTCTAGTAGTGAAACTTGAGATGAGAGTTGTTGTTCATGAAAGCGATTGATTACACTGAAGTCCTTTCAAAAAACCTTCAATCTCAGATCAACATCAATGAGTAAACTGTAAACTATACCAGGTAGCTTACATTAGACAGAAATCTTGCGAGATAAGGTGGTGGAAGTGTAGAACCTTCATTTACTTGATTGATATCATTGAGAAAACACATGTCTGAAATCAAATCATGACAAGCAACCACTATTGAGAAATACTTCAACTATACGCACCAATGTTCAATAAACTTACATGCAGTATTCATCCCTTAGTAATACGCCATATACTTTTGAGGATAGCTTGTGTGAATCGATTTGTAAAGTGTCCGTTACTGATACATTCATGTAGTAACCGAATGAGCGCACTGTAGCATAAAAAAGAAGTAGTTCAATAGTTGTTAGTCAAGTGTAATCAATCATTGTACTAAGACTACAATAATTCAAAGAAATAAATAGTATGATATTGTAAATTTTTTATAAAAATCTGTCTTTAGCGATAAAGTCTAACTTAAACACTCATATAAAATAAACATAACTCTGATAAATTTTGCAAACAAGTGAATCGGATCTAATCTGTACGTCTCATTAGTTCAATTTCCCCATAAAATATTGAATTAAATTTGTGTAGCGAATAAACAGAATTACAAATAACATTATACTTTTACTTGAACGGACATTGCAGGCCTAAACCACTTTAGATTCAAGTTCATTAATTAATTAAACACCATTTCAACAGTTGGGACGGCAACAACACTGCAAACAATAGTATTCTTTGCAAACAAATAGCATAAACAGTAGAGGTGAATATCTATCATGCAATAACGCATGATGAACGCACCAATAACAGCTGGGAAAACACTTTGAAAATATTATCTCATAAAGGAGAGATAGAATTGAACAGATAGCTTCTCATGAAAACGGACTAAGAGACCAGTAATGAAACGAAAATATACGTAAAAGGCAAATTGATCGTGTTTATAATTATTTGGACTGTATGACTACAGTATTACTACTACAGTCCAGTGTTCTCACCGCGTCAATGGATATAGAAATAAGTAAAGCGGATAAAAAACACAGCAAAGTATAACCGAGGAAATACTCATATTTCTGGTAGATGAAGTTCACAGTTATAAATAACTATATATTATCGAAAACTGAAAGTAAATAATATACCTGAGTATACGTGTTCCATTGGAAGCCTCCAAAATAAGAACAAATAATGCATTGATCGATCTGATAACATTTTCTCCACTGGACATTTCAGCAGTCCTTTCATCCAACATCATTTGAAGGAGAGACTGAGATAATTCTCTTAAAGTTTCCCGTGAAGCCTCGCGACCTAATGTTGGACGACTAAAAAGCTGTGTAAAAAGACAGTAAGTTAAATTTTCAAGTTAATTTGAAAAAAAAACGCTGATTATTAAGGGAAAGGCAAGACAGATTATGAGTAAAAGTTACACAGAAAGGTACCTATGTATGTTTGTACAACATAAGACATTCATAAGGCGGGAATCCACAATAACAGAAATGTAAAATAAACAAGCATTTAGATTTGAACGAAATTCAAAGTAGACAACGTTGATTTTATTTATATTGTCAAGAATTTACAACAAATGGCTTTGAAATTAATCAGTTTATTTAAGAAGCCCATAAGTTAATACACATATCTCAGACCAACGTTAGGTAGCTTTATTAATGTCTTAACTTCTAGCTTAATGGTTTTTTGACAACATAGGAAACTTTAATTTGTGAGATATCTTTAGTAAAAAAGTAAAGATTATTGAACTTACAGATTCGATAGTGGCCAAATGAGACCGAATTAATGTATGCAATTGCTCCTCTGAAACTGAAGGATCTCCAAAATATCGCGAAGTAACTTGGCGTAACTGCATTGTAATAAGCATCAGGACTTGATTGACATGATTGAGTAAAAGGTACCACTTTTCATCTAGATTATTAAAAGTGAAGAGATATGTTATGGTGTAATTAAAAAATAAATAATTACCCAATATGACTAACAATATATCTAAACATGACAAACTTCAAGTCACTAAAAACACTGAAGGTTTTATTATTAATATTATTTAAACACACGCCACGTAAATCACTCGATTTGTGTGAGGGCTGGAATACTGCCCGACAGCCCAAACCAAAGCAGACAGTTTTCTAAGAATATCACTCTTTGAGCCTTTCACTTAGAGGTCCAATACATAAGGCAGTGGAGCAACGTTAGGAGATTCAGTCCCTTGGTAACCGGTGACCAACAATTAGTTCATACACCATTGGTTTGGAATCAATGCTTTCCAACTCCCTCAGGTGGATCCTTCAAATCCACCAACCTGGTTAAAGCGCCGAACATTCGATTTTCTTCCTCATGATTTCGTAAACAACAGCATAGCCGCGAGGAGAATCGATGAAATTATAAAATAATTTTATATTGATAATATAACTGAGGAAAAGATGTGAAAGTTATTAAAACCGTACCTCTAAGAACAGTGTCAATTTCGGCCAAAGCATGACAACTGATTAGTAAATCATTGGAAGATATAGCCGTTACGACCATTGTGATCGCCGAAGCAGTGTCAGGACTTGTTCGTAACAGTGCATTGAGAACAGGCTGGCGCACGTGTGCTCTAAAAGTGATATAAACACATGACAGTAAAATATATATAAAAGAATAAAATTAAGATAATTGTCCACTTGAATTAAAATACCAAAAGTAATAGAAAACATTGTGAATACTCACTTCAATGCTGGAATTTCAACTGGTTGGAAAAGATCATTTATATCAGCATCTAACTGAATAAGTGGAGGCATACATGGAGCTTTCTCAGGTGATAAATCACCTAGTTCATTCAACATAGCACGCGCTCTAGCATGAGCTGCAGAAACCGGTTGCTGACGGCGAAATTCGTTAGGAACAGGCTCTAGAGGATTACGTGAATCTGATGGATCGCTGATATAAAAATGAAAAATAAGGAACAAAAACAAATCCGAATTACTACTTATAATACTACTACCCCAGACAGATTAATTTATATGAATTCATGATAGAACTATGCAGGGAAATACACAGATAAGTTTCTAGTATTCTTGAAAATAAGATACTATGATAGGATGTCGGCAGAAAACAAAGTCGTACTCTACATTCAGGAATATTTCAGAGATAACCCTTCGATTGAAAAAAAAGTAAATAGGATTGAAATTTAAGGATTATATGACAAACGTTAACTTTAAAATACATACCGTCTTGCAGTGCTCGGTCTTACAGATGGTGTCTTGGTTCAAAATTATCTACAGTATTGATCGGTATTTGCCCAGCTCGTTTGATACGTTCTTCCAGCATTGAACGTTCTTTTTCTGGTATCTGAGACAAACGAAGAACATGATAATACATGACTACGATGGTACACAAGTATTTGAAACACAAGTATGCTATTTTAGATGGATTAAGATATGACCTAGGAACGGGGAACGGAATGAAGTTCAGCAACACAACAGGACCAGCTAAGCTGTTTTACTGTTCCCCAAACCATCAGCAACGACCTACTGTCGTAGAGAACAAACCAGCTATCAACCGAAGAGGGAATTAGGAAAAGAAGCTGGAGGTGGACACACATTGAGGGAATCATCAAACCGGAAAAGATTGTTCAGGACAGAGTTCGATTGAGAATGCTGGTGTGCGGCCTTTGCTTATCCATCAGGGGCAACAGGCGCAAGAAATTAGTTTACTCGCTGGTATTTTTGATTAATACTTTCTGTATGAAAAATTTATATTGCTAGCTTAATCGTCGTAGAAATAAGTTTACTAGTTGACAATATTCCCAAGTGGAATAAAGATCAACTTAACAAAGTAGTAATATAGAACAACTGAAATCTCTTACATCACCGATAACCTTCCATATCTGTTCACCAATAACAGCATACGCAGAAAGTAAAGCATTCAAAGCTGCTGATCGAACTCCGCTATCACGATCACCAATTTGTTGAGCGATCAATTTGATTGCAACGGGAATAGAAGGCTGGCAAACATTTAATCCAAAACGATCAATCAGAGAACCCATCTCATCCAAGCACTCTAAAACAAAAAATAATTAAGAATCAACAGGACAGTAAAGCAACTGTGAGAGATGATTACTAAATATAATACTTGCTTACGTGTGTAGCGCACATAAACAACGAAGCTAACCTTGTCTTGTTTTACTGTTTTAGCCTTAGTCCCATTAGTGAGAAATGTGAATAGACGACTGGGTGGATAGAGATTAACCACAAGTTTCAATATTCCTCGAATATTCTGTCGAATTATATCTTTAGGTTCACCCACTTTCATTACCAAATAAGGAAGAAATGAACCACCTTCGTGTTCAGAAAGATTTGCTCCAGACTCTGACATAAAAACGAATAATTTTGTTAGATAATCCATACCTGTATTATTCGAAAGAGGAAATGAGAATAAAACACAATTCAGCCTAAATAACTGTTACAAAGTTTTAGGAACAACAAATACAAATATCACAATGATATTTATTACGATAGCTCAAATATTTATGACCTGATTAACATCTTATTTTAGACTAATCCTTACAACGTGTATCTCCAAACAAATACAAGCAGAGGTACGGTTGTAGAATATTTCATAAGAGTGCGATAGCATAGAACGAAAAACTGACAAAATTGTAGAAATGCCAAAATAAAATGAATATAAAGTTTACAAATGAAAGTAAATGATGAGTAAGATTTTGAAGATGATGGATAAATCGGTGAAACTGTAATTTATGGAAGAATCAATCAGATATAAGATAACAGGTCTTGAATTTAGGCGCGAAATTTATTCATCTATTTGGCTAAATAGCGTTTTGGCATTTTAGCTGATGTCAGTCAGTGACGAAAACCTTAAATCTAGTTTCTAATTCTAACCATTAACTGTAAATCACAATTCCAATTCCTTGCATTGCTTTATAACTGTCATTTAGTCCCAGTTAGTAGGTGGACAATAGCAAGGTCACTTTAGCGTCGCTCAAAGTTTGTCCATAAATTATAGTTTCGTTAATAAATCTATCTACGCTAATGTGGAGGATTTTGTAGTATATTGACTGAATGAGTAATCATTATTCTAAGGACCTTACGAGTGAAGTTTATACCTTACACACATAACTCATATATCCAGTCAATGACTTCGTGGACTGAATTCATATCTTTATCTGGTTACAATTATGTTTGATCAACCTATGGTTAACTAGTTTAGTCAACTATATCAATGTATCTTTTAACTGGGTAATATAGGTTGATAATTTGGATGATTTAAATACTAGTCATTAGTTGACAGAATGATCAAACAACTGTGCACACCTTCAATTTTATAGGAAAGTTATCAGTTATATACAAAAAAGAATAACTTAGAGTATGAAATCATTAAATTTCATTAAAACTTATTTTGTAGTTTGGGTACCGGTGAAGATTAATTTAATTGATATTCGTAGTATTAAATTAACTTACATCTGCCTAAAACAACTGGATTTGTTTCAAAGAATCGTAGAACAATCCATCTCAAGATAATATCTACATTTATTACAGTAGCCTCACAGCCTTCAGTGGTATCTAGTAATTGAGAAAGCTGTTCAATCGCCTTAATGTGTTGTTTAAAGTCGGTATGAAATAAAAGTGCATGAAATTCAGGAGCGGTTCCAGCTGCAGTGAATAATGTACTTAATTGTTGTATGTGTCTTTTGTTGGAGCATCGAAATCCCATTTTAAAAGCTGTAAATTAGAAAAAATGAGTTTTTAGAAAAACAAAACGGAAAGTAAAGACTTACAAAAAGTTGTATACATTTCATTGAAATCATGAACCGACCAATATTAGACTAAAATCGAAAACCCGGAAGCACAGGAAGATCGTTTCGTCCTACTATGGGACTCCTCAGCATTGCGCATCACAATCCCGCATTCGGAACTCGAACAAAGGACTTTCGGTCTTGTGCAAACGCTTAGCGTATAGACCACTGAGCCGGCACCCAACGGAGTTAATATCTAATCTTAACCAATCCATGATGTTAGGCAACCACCTTACATTTATTAGATACCAAAACGTTATTTAATTAAGACTATTCAATTGTTCATAGGAATAACACTGGATATGTAAACCGAACATTTAACATAATCGAATACTTCCATACTTTTTGACTTTAAGTAGTCTAATTTGCGTAACTATAAAGCCTTGCTGTCATTCAGTAAACTGAATCATCCAGTCAAATTTGTCATTAACTACATAGCTTGTACAAGAGGTATTCTCACTCATTGCTTTTAATGAGTATCACAAATATATGATTGAAATATTATCCATGTATATTTCTCAAAATAAAATTCGAAATTACAAGTTTCATGTATAAAAATTCAATACGTTAATAGTTTGATGTGTATATTTGGAAATAGAAACAATAAACAACAAATGGAACAGGGTTATTTAAAAAAATACAGAACCATTACCTTGCGTTTTTTCTCATCATTTAACCTAGAACTCTTAGCTGACTTATTTGGCGGAAGAATTATGGATGTCGTTGCCAGTTCCGGACCTGACTTTTTAGACGTGTTGATAGACTTTTTACTATCAGCCTTTTTCTTCGTATCGGAAACAGACTTTGAGGTATTGCCTGAAGATTGCGTAGCATTTTCAGATTCCTCGCTATTTTCTAAAATTCAATGATTGAAATGAAATAGATGAGGTAATCTTTTCTATGAAGCATATAATCCAGTGAAAAACGGATGTCTTATTTAAATTTTTCTGTAAAATACATGAAAGAAATACCTGGAGTAGTAGCTGGGGCATTTGAGGAAGGTTGTGGAGGTGCTCCATTACCTACACGTACCGCTTTAGATGGAGAAGAGGTTTTTTCTCCATGGATGAGGGATGTGAATTAGCTACACTTTCACGAGCTTTCTCCAAATGAGGCATAATTGAATCCTTTGAGGTGGGCTTCAAACGATTGGTCGACTTTAAGATAGGTTCCCAGCCAAAAACTTGTATTAATGAAGGAAGAACTAGTTGGGCTTGTTTACGAGCTTCAACATTACGATCTTCAAGAGAAGCAAATACCTGAGGTATTAGATTCTCTGTTATTTCTGAAGCGTTTTTCCGCAGGGCGTTTAATGGCATAGGTGAGAGAACATCTTGAAGCCAACGTAGTAATTCGGCTCGTAAAAATGGATTTTCCATCTAAATAGTAAATAAATAGAAACATGAATAAAGAGTTTAGATTATAAAACAACTTTACATAGAACAAAACGTTATGAATGATTATCTTAAAAATCAATAACGAACAGTTTAACGAGCCATTAAAATTTAATTAATTATCTTCGTCTATAATCTAATAAGTAATCTTTCATTTCACACACACATGTAATGACTCAGGAATCCAGTTTAGTTCACATGCATCAGTCAGCATTTATATTTTTATGTACTAGCCCAAGTATACATGTATTAGTGACGATTAACTGTAAACAGTAAATAATGTTTCGGTCGAAATCTTCAAAAAAGGTACATGAAAAGATACTTACCTTTAAGGCGTCAGCTAACATGTCATTTTCAAATACTGATAAAATGGGAACTCGACTTTGCCAAGAGCTAAGTGCAGTTACAGCTGCCTCACGTATTTGAACTTTTGAATCACCAAAACAGAGTAAAATAGGAGGTTCAACATACCTAGAAAATAGATCGGTTGAGTAATGAGTTAATAAAATATTTATAGGAAAACTGAGTTATTTTAAATGAAGATTCGCGTGCTTATTACATACGATTGTTATTGAAATTCGGAAAGTTTGGTATCAATTCGTAATTGCCTTAGTTAAAACAGTACTGTTAATATTTCTGAACGGATTGCTAGATTATAAAATTTGTGCTTCCGGTTTTGCAGAATCAGAGTGAGTACAGCTAAATTGTAAACGTATAGATATGTTTCAACTGATCTTATGTATTATTCTTGAAATAAGATAAACCATTTTACTTTACCAGTATGAAATAACCTAATAACATTTTTTATTTGCCATCAGTTAGAATCCAATAAGCTTCGTACAGTACACCTTAGCATAGTTCATAATAACAATGTATTAAAATTTCTTAACTTCAACATTTTATCACGTTACGCAACCTTATTTTATTATAATTAATCTTTATCTGTTCTTAAGATCTTAATAACCACACTTTCACTTCCTTACCAAGAACAAAATTTTTCCTGCGATTTTGTTACTATACACAGTACGTTGTTTTTTTAACAAACATATTACTGCAAAGAAAGAGTATAACTATGATTGTACTGTTTTGAAAAAAAATCCGCCAAAAAGAGAACTCTTGGTTGAACATATCGTTTTTATCTTTGTCTTAATGAGTACATTTCATTTATATAAAAAATTTGTCAATATTAGATACGATCAAAGACAGATACGTATAACATCAATCGACGAAACTTTAAATACTTTTACACATATAATACTGAATTAGAGGTCAAGTGCTCTTAAACAACTGTTTACTAGCATACATTTTTTATTCACTTCTATCTAAGACAACAGAATCAATCAGAAGATTACAAATATATGCTTTAGTAATTTTAAGAGCAAACTGAATATAGAACAACGAGGCGCGGATTAGAAACTGCAAATATAAACAAATAGATGAGTATATTTCTCTTTATACCATACAAAGTAGTGTGTTGCCATAAATCATATCTTCTTTCTAATAAAGTTATAATGATTGCAGAAAGTAATAAAATTATTAAACAAATATATAGAAAAAATGAACTGTGATCTATATCACTGTATTTATTCTGCTTAACAAAAAGTTCACGTGTATACATGATACTATTATGACGAAACAACCGATCGATGAAATTCCGACATGAATGAAGATGTCAGTGGTAAGTGACTGGCGACCTACTACTGCCCAACTGATTGAATAAATGAGGAAACTATATCTTTTACATGTAAAATATCCAAATAAGACAAAATGATTTGTCAGAAAAGAGAAAAAGATGGAAGCAAAATATCACAAATCAACAAGTTACCAATTATTTTTAATTATCGTACAAAATATAAATGACTATATTTGGTAATAAAATACAGTAGAAAATAACATAAGGATAACAGTGAAAATAATTTAAAATTATAGGCAACTATCAATAAACTATGGTATGAAGTTTTTGTTTAACTAACAGATGTAGATTGGATTTGACCTGTGACAATAGCGGTTAAATTATGGAAACACTAATTTCCATTATTAGATAAGTTTAGATGTCACCGGAACAAGACACTGAGAATCCAACACGATGATAACATTATCGTAAAAACTAGTAAAGGTTATAACAGACTTATTTTTCTGTTAGCGTTCATAAAATACACTGTAGATATAAAACGAAGAAAGAACTACACGAGTCAGCCTGGAAACCTAGAATACGGACAAGCTGTAAACAAAATCAGTCAGATTGAGCAATAAAATTTATCGTACAGCCTTAGGATTCATTTCTTATACAGATGATTAGTCTAGTGTTGGGAGTGTGTGACAGAACCGGGTACCCAAAAAAACCGAAGCCTGACCAATAACTTGATAATAGTGATTAGGGTATGGTACGAGTCACAATTAGTTACTATAACAAGTAACTCAGAATTACAGTGTAGTAGTAGCAGCTTTTGAAGTCAAATACAGCGTGTTTTAAAGTGGGAAAAAAGAGGGAAGATGAATATAATTATAAAAATAAAAAACGACTTCAGAACATATATTTACTTTATGTAATTCACAGCGTCTGATTTTGGTATTGATGAAGCAAAGGAAGACAGGATTATCAAAGCTTGTTTGGCCAAGTTTTTATTCACATCATTAGCTGCTTTAGCTATCATAGTCAAAGGTTCTTGAAGCTTTCCGTTTGAAGCATCAATCAATGGGAAGGAGATATAAATTTTTCAATAGTAGTCAGTGCTTCTAAACGTTCTTTCCAAACCTTGCTTTCAGAAGTCCCAGGAGTTCAGGTGTGAGTTGGTCACTGAAAAAAGAAACTGGAATATGAATAGCGGACATTCAACAGCATAGATGCGACAAAAATGTGCGTCATTGAAGCAGATGACATTGAAGGTGAATCTGATTCTGAAGAACCTATGGTAAGTTAAGGTCTCCACTAGTCCACTTTAAGCATTCAAGTGTGTTAGATGGAGAATTTTATTTAATCAGCAATCACATGATACCATAGTCCCCTCTACATTTATTCCGATACGCAACCCACTTTCGGTTATGTACGCTATACGTGGCGATTTGGTTTAAAAAATATGGAAATATAAATTTACACACCAAAAACAATATAGTTCGGATGTCGTACATATACTAAAATAACAGGTGAAACATAACGAGTAAGTGGAAACACAGGCATTCATAAAAAATTGTGAAAAACCCAAAACGTAAAAGATCATGACGAAAACTTTTTTATCTACTAGGAATATCCGAAAAAGCTAATAAATCAGTTAAGCTGCAGAAATGATATAAGATATTTCAATGAATACCTGATATCTACTTTTGGAAGTAATACATCAGAGTCCACCTCCTCTATTTGACCGGTAGTTTCTATATCTCTAGACAATGCTTCAGTCCCGCTGGGTTGAGCAGACACTGATTCTTTGAAAAGAGTTTGGGCAGCAGAAAAACGAGTTGGAGCAGGAGCTTTTTTATCTTTGTTTTTCGCAAATTCCGCATTTAGTAACGTAATCAAAGCCGGTTTCTCATCCGCTAGGAGAGCTGCCAAACGATCATGGAGATATAAATGAATTGTCCCAGCAAGATTTAGTGAATTTTGACGAACAGAAGGGTTAGTTGCATTGAGGCCTGTTTTTAGAAGTGGTCCAACTTCTTGTGGTGGAATACTAAATAAATTAAACAAATTCATCAAGCATCTAGGATTAATTTGGTAAAAATATTCAGATATTAAAATCATGGACGTCATGGAATAAAAAAACTTACATACAAGATAGGTCGAAACACTAATTATGCCCTCAATTACTAAGCAAAATGAGAAAGGACAGAATGTTCTGGAACATTCGAGTAATTATAATAGAAACTAGATTCCATAGCCAATTTATTTCAACACATAAATATTGGTACAAAGGGACACCGAATACATATGCGCCACACGAATCACTTGGTTCGTTTGTGGGTTTTGATACTGCCCGGGTGCCCAGATCGGAGCAGGTGGTCTGATCCACTAGGCAGTGGAGCAACGTTGGAGATGTAGTCCCATGGTAGCCGGTGACCAATAATAGGTTCATATACCATCTGTTCCTTTAGAATCCTGGAGCCCATGTGCACCATTGGTTTGGAATCAAGGTTTCCCAACTCCCTTAAGTAAATCCTCCGTGTTCACAAATCCGGTTAGGACGTCGGACATTCGCTCTTCGTCCTCTCAATTTTGTAAACAACACCCCTGCCCCGAGAAGGCAGTGAGTAGGACTTACCTGGCAGTGGCTGTATACGTGTGTGGTTATGTAAGAGCATTTCAAGAGAAAGAGCTAACCCTTTCCACCCTCGGCAGCACCAGGGCATTCGGGGTAAGCTTTCAGTCATTATTTATTATATGATTGCGATATTGAATGGGAAAAGATCCCTCAAATTAGTCGATTGTTGTCATGAAACGTAACCCGTAAGTAAACGTGGAATTAGATTTATGGACAAGTCATAGATTATAAATAATATATTTGTAATATTCCAATGAGTAGAAAAATTAGATTTTCTGACGTTTCGTGACTTAGTGTAAGTCATTTCTTCAGAGAATAAATAACTAAACCAAAATTAATCCAAGTTTAAATAATACAACGGAATAACAAGAATATTATGACATAATATACTTATTTATTTATAACAATCTACCCAATGCTCAATTTATTCGAGATTATCAAGTCAAATCATGGTAATGATACCTACAAAGTCATAATTTGTTTTCTAACATCTTAAGAAAAGATAGGTTACATGTACTTAACTAAAGTAGAGCAATGTACTACGACACCAACTCAGAAGCACTCTTTGATTCTTTATTCTTTGTTTTAAAGGTGTGCATACTGTTTTTTTGTTTCTCGTCTTTCGAACCGTTTCATTATCTCCTTTTATTGGCGACTGATATGCAGTACCCCGAACATTATGAATAAGAATTTAGAATTCAAAGCAACAAATAGATATATTGGAACATTCGTACTTACATTTAACATGAAACTTTGGACAAGGGGTACCATACTTTACGATAATCTTAGCAGAACTATGTAAAACGAAACCGTATACTGAATTTTTAAATACAAGTTCGAATCGTATAGCAGCAAAGAGTTACGAACGATACCCCCGTAAAAGCCGGTGGACGAAAGAGAGAATTTACTAACAGCGGCAAGGGTGTATGTGTATCACAAGTAAATCTCCGTACAAATTGATTCAGTTTAGACCATATATATCCACTTTCATTTTTTGTACATGTAGAACACTCCTACCGCGTAAAACCAGTGAGACTTTGCTAAAAGGTTTCTTAGTGCACAGCCAAATGAAACTATTGCAAGAAAGAGAGAGAGTAAACTCCATTCACAGATTATGTTACAGGATTTGGGGATAAAAAAACTTAGTGGACATGTACAGATCTATGTACTAGATTTTGAACTAATATTGTACAAGAGATATAGATAATCCCTAGTCGCTTGAACCAAAGTAGGCAGGAAGGGTTTTGGAACTTCAACTCAACGGTTAAAAGTCGACTGATATAAAAAGGCAGAGCATTTTTGTGCTCTACAACACCTGAAAGATCTAGCTTCTATGACTTGAAAATCTCTGACACCTTTCATCTACTCAAACTTTGTTAAAGGCGATAAACTCAGAAAATCTAATCACTCATGTGATGTTAGAAGCTTCCGTTACAACTGTTGACCAGGAGGTTTATCACACACTAAAACGATAAAAAAGCATACAGAACTGATATGTACTTGGTGAAGTAAGGTATCATTGGACTCCGAGGAAGGACAAACGAGCACTAGCTATAAACACTACTGCTAAAGGTAAACGATTCAGTTCTACACCGGGTTTTGCAACAGGTGGTCTGCTTGTATATGCTAATAAAGCTATTGATCAGCTTGTAATCAGGTTCTCTCGTGTACCTGTGTACACAGTGGTCTAGTTTGATGGTTTAATAATATCGTACCGTATGCATCGATTGAGTAATACGTCTAGTGCATTGTTCAGTCTAATATGTCGTTTCGAGGATACAGGATTTGTGATCACTCAGCTATGTTAAGAATTAGTTGTAGTTAATGATAACAATTTAAGCAGATTGAGAACTGGACAATGGTTATTCGGTTAGCAACAAAATAATTTTTAAATTGTGAGATTTTCATTTAGTAAATATAAGCAACCATGCATATAAAAATACATACCAAAATCCGAATTCCTGAATGCTTTGATTCAACCAAGCCAAACCTTCGGTCTGACTGCGAGGATTTTTAATCTGAAATAGTGTGCGCATTATAAAACCACCAACTAATTCGAGACTTGTTTTCTCAGCCAATTTTGTCATCGCAATTTTTGTGACGTCACCGACTTTCGTATCACCAACCTTATCAATCAAATCTGATAAAAGTAACTCAGCCAAATTTGAACTGATAGAAACGCTTAGAGACAAAACTGCATCGATGTACTCAATTCGAGCGCGCAGTACCTTGATTAATACAGGAAAAGTCAGATTAAAGTACCCATAAGTACACGAATACCTGATTATATGGTTATTCTTTAACGTGTATGACTGAAAAATTTTGTCAACAGTAGGTAAAAAACCAAACGCCAGTTTGTGAGTTCGAACATACACTACAAAAACTTTGCATGACACTACCACCACTTATGTTTTTACTACCTTGATATGCACATGATTGTTGCTGAAGTTCACGTATGACTATCAATCTGTAGACAGAAACAATACAGTACGCAACGCTCAAGGGTCATATGTGATTGTCTTTGAATAGTCGTCGCTTAAGTTGCAATCATTTGGGTTTCTCAAGAAACAATTTGTCGCCAACTCAATGACCGTGAAAAGTTAACCCCTCACATACACACTTTAGAAATTACTTCTATCTACTCTGTGTAACGGAGGTGACACCCCAAATTCATAAAATACGACCCTTGGTTTTGTAAAATAACACAAAATTCTGACTTCGAATTAAATAGTAGTGTAAGAAAAACCAGTCAATATTGTAAAATCCCAGTGTAATGAAAGTATGCCGTTTCCAAAACATCCATACACGGTCACAACTCGTGTGTGATTAGTTCAAACGCACATTTCGATTTACACAGAAACAAAAAACTTTAGTATGGAGAAACTTATAACATAATGATAATAAAAACAAAAAAATTTGAATATGTAAAACTTAGTACACCTAATTTTTCAGAGGACAGATTACATAAGCACATTATTTTGTATTAATAATGCAAAATAAACGGAATTTTCACAAAATTTATTGGCAAATTGTTTACAAGATATCATCATAAAGTTAAGTCAGATTTGATTTTGGGGAGGAATTCTATCAGTTTTCAAATTTTTATTATCGCTACAGGTGTTCGTGGAGACAGCTGTATTATAATAGTTTTCATGACGGACTGATTTTAGTAAGATAACCAATGAAAACCAAGAGTCACCGAAAAGATATTTCGTTCAATTTAAATAATGGCAACGTTTCACCCGGCAGTCTGGTCTAAGCTTCTACAAGAAAATAAACAACAATAAGTAGGATATTTGAACGCTCTCAATGCCCTGGTACTGCTGAGAGTGGGGAGAGTTAGCTCTTTCTCTTGAAATGCTCTTACATAACCACACACGTATACAGCCACTGCCAGGTAAGTCCTACTCACTGCCTTCTCGGGGCGGGGGTGTTGTTTACAAAATTGAGAGGACGAAGAGCGAATGTCCGACGTCCTAACCGGATTTGTGAACACGGAGGATTTACTTAAGGGAGTTGGGAAACCTTGATTCCAAACCAATGGTGCACATGGGCTCCAGGATTCTAAAGGAACAGATGGTATATGAACCTATTGTTGGTCACCGGTCACGAGTCCTAAATTCTACTGTCAGCAACTATTTAAAGAAAACTGGCATATAGTTATTTCAGAGGTTATTTATGTTTGATTCTGACTATTTTCCTGAAGAAACTTGGACGAAATTATCAGGTGAAACGCTCGAGTTATATTACTTGCAATCATTGAGATTATTTCGTTCATAATTCCACATCTAATGTTATGATGAACAGTATTTTGCAATATAAGGTGAGACCGAATGGAGCAACAGAGATGTATCCATTTTTTCAACCTTTCATTTCTATGGCCAATTATTATTTATAAACGAACGATTTTGTGGTCTTTTAAGGTTTTCTTGTTAATTAAGTCATGCAGTTGTATCTAGCACATGATAAACTGAAATACAACATTATTAATCCAGGTTTCAGTTTGTTCTAATCGATCAATGAGAACAGGTATAAAATTGATGGTGAATATATTCATCTAATTTCCTTTTTATATTAACGGTTACTTCTGAGATCGAAGGTGCCTATCAGGCTACTAAAAAGGACTTTAAATCTTGTAGTAACATCAAGGAAAAACATCAACGCAGTTTAGAAAGTCGATGTTATGGGTGTTGGAAAACAATGAGAGTAAACGATTCTGGGTTTGATTGTTTAAGACTAGAACTTGATAGGTGTTGCAGACCGATAAAACCACGACAGTAAACATACCGAAATTATTTGACATAAATCTTCACTTAAAAGCTGACAAAAATGATTTCACTCAAAACACAACTAAGTACCTGAAAATTAGTATCCTTGATTCCAGGCTTAAGTAGAACAGCACGACACAAAATTTGAGTAGGTACGTCAGAACTGGTAAAGGAATGTATGTTAGATTTCATTTGTTCAACCGCTTGCAAGCGTTCTTTCCAATTCGTATCAGATAATTGCTTGATAAGTGCTTCCCCAAGATGCCTAAAACACATTCAATCAGAAATTACGGTCAAGGAAAAAGCTGTTTGAATTTTCCATTTTAATAATTATCTAAAATAACCAAAAACACCATATATGCTTTAAACAAATAAATTTAACTTACAGAGGATGACCTCTTCTATTAAAATGATTAATTAACCCTTCCAGTTTTAATAGGAAAAAATTTCGTAAAAAGCGGTAATCAACACAAAACATATGTGCCCAAGAATTACTTGTTGATACGTGAATTCAATTTATTAATACCTGAAGTGCACGTTCAAATAGACGATGTAGTTGTGCAGGAATGAGAGGTGAATTGGGTATAGAAACTGTAGGCACATATTTACTGAAATCGTTAAATTATGTATATTTCTTTCTGTCAATCGATGCTTAGAATGAAGTAAATTTATTGACAATGCTGACTGGGACGGTTGTTTATGAAGCTTTAATAACGAAGAGAAGTACTAAAATCTGGGGATTACCTTTCAAGCAAATCGTTAGCAGCTAGAAAGTATTCCTTCATTACTGATCATCATTCTTTATCATCTAATTCTTACTTACATGACCCCACATTTTCGACTCTACATCTCCAACTTCTGACATGGCAGTAGAGAGGTGGGCCTAGTGGTTAGGACACTCGACGTCCGGCCACTAAGTTTCCGATTGGAATGCCACTCAATCTAATTCAGTTTGATTAAATTGGATAGTATAATTAGCGTTCACAATCAAATTACTGCACATACCCAATTACCTGGCGAATGAGCCTGTAATTATCATTAAGTATCCAATCAAAACAAGCTAACATAGTTTTAGATAGTGGTTGGAGGTAGTCAACAGGAAACCCTGGACCCGGGTTTCGTGCTACTTGGCACTCGTCAGCAAGGTGTACCTGCAATCTTGAGGGAACTGGTGCTACCTGGCGGATTCGATCTCGTGTCACCCAGCTTCACAGTCAGAGACGTTACCACTGAGCTATCCGAGCCGTGACTAACCTCCTGTAGGACTGAGATGTAATCACAATTGATTGATCACCACCCAATGACAAGCATGACATTGATCACCACCCAGTGATCAATCAATTGTGATTACATCTCAGTCCTACAGGAGGTTAGTCACGGCTCGGATAGCTCAGTGGTAACGTCTCTGACTGTGAAGCTGGGTGACACGAGATCGAATCCGCCAGGTAGCACCAGTTCCCTCAAGATTACAGGTACACCTTGCTGACGAGTGCCAAGTAGCACGAAACCCGGGTCCAGGGTTTCCTGTTGACTACCTCCAACCACCATCTAAATCTCAATACATAGTGCCCGCAGTGTCGAGTCACCTAGACTGGTGGCCACATTGCAACATGATCGATAGCATTCGATCTGCACTAATAAGGACTAGACAAGCATGACATTGATCACCACCCAGTGATCAATCAATTGTGAAGCTAACATAGTGAATACGTAAGCGAGTCCCTGACAAATGTATTGGGACCTGATGTTCAATAATGGTTCAGTTACTCTGTTTTCTTCTATACCCATTATCGACCTTGTTTTCCGTGCAGCTTTGTAACAAAATGTTATAACAGAATAAATAAATTCTAACCACTAATCAGATTCCTCGGAATCTTTTCGTAATCATTACATTTAGCTTATAAAAATCATTTGATATTTGGTGTAAGATATCGAAGAAAACAAGGTGGGTGATACTAGTAACAACTCACTCAGAAGCTTTCTGAGATATTTCATCCTCTGTTAACAAGTTTTCTGTTGGAATGGTGAATTTCGATTTCTCAATAACAGATTTCGTACGTGCTGTCGATTTTTTACTAGATGGCCCAGAAGTTGGTGTTTTAGTAGCACATTCGGAATTAGCCTCTCCAGTGCCACTGGACGCTGTATTCGGACGAGTGACTGGTGGTGCTGCACGACGTGGTACAGTATTGGGTTTAGCAGATGTAGACATATTTGTCGAAGGAGCAGTTAGTTGGTTACCTGTATTGTCAGAAATAAGGGCAAAACATATCAGAACTGAAATATGAAAAGCATTTAAATGGAGAAAAATCTGCGCTACTCTACATGTTTGCTAATCAGTGTGAGGATGGAGAGATCTTGGATACGAAGGTACGGGGAGCATACAATCAATAAGACGACAGATTACATCCCCCGATAAATAGAAAAAGCCAGATAATGACCACATTTCACCTGTCATAATCAAAGTAGAACCTAGCACACATGTGTGCGTTAACACAAGTTACCATATCATGACGATTGTAATGACTACTGATCTGAATAGGATATAATTGTTTATTTACAACTTAGAAGCCTACAAGAATACGAAAAATCGACGATTTTTGTGACATTGAAAGATAAAACTAACGTTTTGCAGTGTTAATTCTTATCAAAAGAAACAGCATTATTAAGCATGTCGATATGAATATGTAATGAAATCATAGATCAAATGTAACGGTTAATCTAAAATCCATGTACTGAGACTACTATACGGCTTGAGATATCTAGAGCTCCGTGAACAGATTTATTCAATGAGAATTCTATTAATCTTTATTTCTGACTTTAAAATGTTTTTTGACATCTTCAGAGTTTTTAACTACCTAAAAGAAATAATTATAAATCTGTCTGGTCACTATTTATGTTTGGAGACAGAAACTAATGGTTGGCATTCGAATATCTTCGAGTCCTTTGAACCTCAAAGGAAGAAAGTAACACAACTCTATCTTAGTTTACGTATAAAACCGAAGTTTATTTGTTCACTGACGATTTCGTGATTGTAAAAGGTTTACATTTCAGTGTTATAACATGCAACAATTTGTCTGGTACGTCGAACTTGAAGAAATATCAATCAGTCATATTTCTTCAGGCCCGACGTACGGGTAGTAGGTAAGGATGGCAAATCGATTGATGACGTAGTGAAACTTCATCAGTTGAGATGGCTGGGACACGTGTTACGTATGCCCAACTACCGACTACCTCGATGTGCGATGCCCAATGGTATATGAGTAGGTTGGGAGAAAGCTAGGGGCGGCCAAACCAAAACATGGCACAAGTCCATGAAGTCACTGACAAGTGGTCTGAGCCATGTCGGTAGGTGTAGACTACCTGGTTGGGGACCGCGAGATGATAGCAACCAATGGTTAGAGACCCTGAATGACATGGCTCAAAATCGTTTGCAATGGCGCAGGTGCATCCACTCTTTGTGTTCTCCCAAATTTTGATCTCTTTATTCCTCCTTGTCTCTTTTTTTCTCTTCCCAAATTTATTTCACTGTATTATACTCTTTAAGTAACATCTCCAAACACTAATTTTCCTGATTACTGCTTATACTCTTATTACCTCTACCACTACGGGATTTGAATGGACAACTGCATCTCTGTGCTAATGTGGTGTGGCAACTCGAACTGATGTACGTACGTACGAAGTTCTAAGTTGTTACTGACTGGCTGGAATATCAATTCGTCGAGAAGAAAAATTCACTAAAATTTATCAAAGTTATCAACTTATTGTAAGGTGGTTTGAAACATTTTCAGACTGTTGTGATAATTCAGAAGTTAAATAGTGATACCACTTGGCATTTTCCTACTATTTCTTTCAGGAACTTCGAACTACTGATGTACCACCAGCTGCTTAACTTTATCGTTATCTGTAAAGATATTTACTCTTCTAATCGATTTAGCTATTTAAGGTTTCAGAAACAATCTTGACTAATTTTAGGGACTGTAAGCACTTATATCATCCTACAGCTTCAGTCCGCAAAACACTAATATCGTAATCAGCTGAAATTACTATGACCAGCAATTTACAATTTGAAGAATAGGGAAACATCATGTTCGTAATAAAACGGTAAATTATTGTAACTAGATCAGGAGCCTTCGAGCATGTTTACTCACTACGCTAGCAAATTAACTTCTCACAATTCAGTGGCCTAAATTCGTCTTACACGTGTGCGTTAGGCTGGATTATAACAAAACACTACACAATTATCTATTGTCAAGTAATCTAAAACAGAAATATCATGTGGTTATAAATAAAGATTGAAAATTAAGATGTGCCACTGATAGAAAATGTAACAGAAATCCTAAACTAACCGGAGTTATTTGAATTACTAAGTTCAGACGCTATTCGTTCGCAACATTCATTGATTTTCGCCAGCCGGATGGAATCAAGTTCGCTGAGAAAGGGCTGGATAGTTTTTGCCGACACGACGAACATTGCAGCACCAAGCGCAGCAAAACTACATTCACGCACTTCAGGAACAGTATCGTTGCATGTCACACATAACGGTACAGTAAATGATTTTAAAACCTTTTTGTTTAGTGATGTGGCGGAACATTTTTTGAACGCTCTACTTAGAATTAAGGCTGCTTCTGCACGTACATTAGGTGTTTTGTGACTTAATGCGGCTACAATATCATCCACAAAATGATCTAGTGAATTCTGGAAGCGAAAAATAGTAAACATTAGGAAAACTTTGGTAGTAACAACATAAGATAAAGTAACGGCAGCGGAGTATAGGAGATTGAAGAAGCAGGATTAAAACATTACTACTAGAATCGCATAATCAAGAAGCCTTTATGTTATATAATCGACACATCACACATCAATAAAACCCTAATTCACCAGGTATATTAAGACCTAGAAATCTCCATGAATATAAGGACACTCATAATCCATTACCAAGCATGTGATTAGATCCTATAAATATCTTACCTATTCGACTGAATACAATATCCAAGCCTTCCAAAGAAGTGATTTTCAGAGTTATTTGTGCTTTAAGAGCGACGAACGTTAACTAATACTGCGAAGTCTCCAGTGTCCTCTTTTATAAATAAAAATAATTTTGTATATGTAATGCTAGAATCAACAACTCGAAACGCAACCTTAAGGGATCAACAGGAAAAAAATCTATGGAAGTAAATAGGTGATAAGTTAAAAGGACTAATCAAAATTGCACTTCAAAAATTAAAAGACAAAATACGTCATTGACCACCAACGATTAATTTAAAACAAGTGAGTGCATTAGGCTACTCTCTATCAAGTATTACAGAGCTTATGAGTGTGACGTAAAACTTATTAAAAAAGAATGGTAAGTAGAGTTATAAACTAGTTTGACCATAACTAGAACTATACGAAGAAGCATAGAACTGTTGAAATGGTATACCACAGTGTGCTAGTGCTATCTGTGAAAAATACCGTCTAACGAATTAGCCCTAAATACCCTGGTACGACCAAGAGTGGGGAGAGTCCGCTCTCCCTCTCGAAATGCTCTCACATGGCCTCTGCTAGGGAAGTCCTACTCACTGCCTTCTCGTGGCGGGGGTGTTGTTTACGAAAATAAGAGGATGAAAAGTGAATGTCCGGCGCTGTAACCGGATTCCAAATCAATGGTGCACATGGGCTCCAGTATCCTGCGGGAACAAATGGCGTATGAACCAAGTGTTGGTCACCGGCTTCCATGGGACTGCATCTCCTTATGATGCTCCACTGCCTTGTGGATCAGACCTTTAGGTCAAAGGCTCTGGATGTGGCCCCCTAAGATTACCACCTGCTTCGGTCTGGGCACCCGGGCAGTATCATAGCCCTCACACATATCGAATGAGATTTGTGTGGCGCATATGTATTTGGTGCCTCCTTGTACCAATATCTATGTGTTAAAATAAATAATAATCTGTGAAAAATGAATGAAGTGAGTTGAACAGTAAACAGGAAGTCGTTTACCGAAGTATAATTAAGGTAGCTGAAAAATTCACACGTTAAAATGTCATATTACCATAGCATTAAAAGACAAAATCACACACAAATTCCTCAATTCAAATCGATAAAATGAGAATATGAAACAAATAAATCACTAGAAATTGGTATAATATCTCTAGTGTGAGAATACAATCTACATTCTCAAAATAAAAAGTAAAGAGAAGACGATTACAACGATGATACTTTTATAATCGTGTTTTAAATAAGCTTATTTGATATAAGCTTAGGAAGTGTCTCAAAATCTCATAAGTTTAAAAATAAAAATTACCGTATTATACATATATAATCAAACAGCCGCATTGAACAGTGCCTAACATTTTCGCAATAAACTAATGGACTGAAAAAGCAATCCAATACCTATCACTAACTAGTAACTAATCGATAGCTGCATAATAAGTAGTACGACCCTATTTAGTTCTCGGTATTGAAACTTATTGATCAAGTTTCTAAATGCGGCGAATAAACAATGTGGTGTGGTATTTGCAGGTTTATTTGTTTTAACATATAGATATTGGTACAAGGGGGCACCAAATACATATGCGCCACACAAATATCATTCGATATGTGTGAGTGCTGTGATACTGCCCGGGTGCCCAAATCGAAGCAGGTGGTTTTCTTAGGGGACCACACCCCGAGCCTTCGACCTGAAAGTCTGATCCACGAGGCAGTGGAGCATCATAAGGAGATGCAGTCCCATGGAAGCCGGTGACCAACGATTGGCTCATACGTCATCTGTTTCTTCAGGATACTGGAGCCCATGTGCACCACTGGTTTGAAATCAAGGCTTTCCAATTCCCCTAAGTAGATCTTCCGTGTCCACCAACCCCGTTAGGGCGCCGGACGTTCGCTTTTCGTCCTGTCAATTTAGTAAACAATACACCCGCCACGAGAAGGCAGTGAGTAGAATTTACCTGGCAGAGGCTATATACGCGTGGCCATGTGACAGCATTTTGAGAGGGAGAGCGGACTCTCCCCACTCTCGGCCGTACCAGGGCATTTGGGGGCAGGTACTTGTAGAAAAGTCCTTTACCTAAATAACGTGCACTTGCCGAAGAGATATTTGTGGTTTTCTTCGATCAAACATTCTATAACCACAAAATAGACAACTTTTACCTACTGAATCAATAGGGATAACCAAAACAGAATGTCACTATAAATCAATGAACAAAAATTTCAAATTCAAACTTGAATATATGTCGCAGTCATTTCTTCTCGAAATGCTCTTACATAACCACACACGTATACAGCCACTACCAGGTAAGTCCTACTCACTGCCTTCTCGGGGCGGGGGTGTTGTTTACAAAATTGAGAGGATGAAGAGCGAATGTCCGGCGCCCTAACCGGGTTGGTGGACACGGAAGATTTACTTAAGGGAATTGGAAACCTTGATTCCAAACCAATGGTGCACATGGGCTCCAGGATTCTAAAGGAACAGATGGTATATGAACCTATTGTTGGTCACCGGCTACCATGGGACTGCATCTCCTAACGTTGCTCCACTGCCTAGTGGATCAGACCACCTGCTCCGATCTGGGCACCCGAGCAGTATCACAACCCACAAACGAACCAAGTGACTCGTGTGGCGCATATGTATTCGGTGTCCCTTTGTACCAATATTTATGTGTTCAAATAAGTAATACTAAATATTAAATATTTGTCAGTCAAGTTATTTACTCATACTAATTGCTACACGACAACATACCGAAAAGGATCTTAGACAGAGACACAATGAGGTTCAGGTATATCAGATATTCAACTTAAAGAGCTGAAATCTCAAGTAAACTATGGATATTTGAAAACAGAAAATTCAAGTTACCTTGGAAAAAATCAAATGTAGAGTGAGACCTAGTAAACTTGTATGTCAATATGAAATGATGATACACTACGTTATTTATGTACAAATAGAAAAACATACCGAAGATACGGCACCATCAGCAGATTCTCTTAGAGCTTGAACAACATTAGGTTTCTTTTCTTTAAACTTCCCTAAACACGCTTGTAAGGTTTGTTGGGAGTAAGGACTGAACTTAGATTTTAACCCTCTTGCTATTTGTCCCAAAATTTTAGCAGCAAGAGTCACCAGAATATGTTAGTATCTTTATTTACAACCTGCAGATTCCAGAAATAATTAGGTCACAACGTACCTGAATCAAGCTTCTCACGAGGTCTGTGAAATCACCTGGAACAATCCGAGGAACGTTCGTAATTTTTTCAAGTGCCTCTAAAGCGTCACGCCGATCTTGCCACTTCTTTTCCCCCTGAAAGACGAAATCAACCTTATTACGAAGAACTTACTATTTGTTGCCAGTAATCGCTGGGGATTTTGCTAAGAACTTCAACAGGAGTAATCATATCATCCAAATCAACCTGGTCGGTTAAAGTTCCACCTGGAATAGCGCCATCAATTGGATTACTTTCAGCACCAGTATCTGGAGTAATTTCTTTAGGTTTTGACTACGTAAATATCTTAATCGAACAGGTTTTCCGGTGGAATAGAGTTAAATAATTCACATAACTCAGTCATCTGAATGTCGTTTTTAAAAATACACTTGGTATACATACCACAACTGGTTTGATATCCTTTAATAGGTCTTTTGTTGTTACTCCTATCCACCTGTAGACCTCAACGATGAGATTTTTTGTTTCATTTCGGATCCCTTGGTCTCGATCATCAAGTAGTCGTCCAAACTCTTTAAAAAAGGTTTGATCGGAACAACAGTTGGACCAAAAAGACTACGTACAAATAAGTAGTTAGTGGAATTAATCTCACTTTAGAGCTTCACGAAGAGTCTGTAAGCTTCCGACAACAACTTTTGGATTTTTAGTTGATAAACCTTTAATGAGCTCTTCTATTACTAATTCATGACGCTCAATTTCTATCAGCATCAATAGGCACTCAATTGACTTGTCTTTTGTTTTTATTCGAGTAGAACCCAGACATTTTGATATGATACCAGAACAAATATCTCCAGCGCATCTAACAAAAGTTGGAGAAAACTCAAAAGTTACTTTGTAGCTGCTGCAGCTGTTTCTATGTATGCTAAGACAGCATCTAGAGCTTTTTCCTGAGCTCCAGCATGAGAATCAGTCACGAACTTCTTCATCAATCCAACATATTCGTTAAAAACAGGACTTTTTCCATTTGTCTCTGTTGAAAATATTTTGAACGCTTCTTCGTATCCTGCCACACGTGCGTTCCAGAGCTAGGGTTAGGATTAAGATGGAAGAACGTTAAGTACCTTGTGCTGTACTTTGGACAGAGTGGGCAACTTCGACCAATCATCTTCTGACGACATACTGAACACTCAGCACCTAAATGATATAAAAAATAACACACTCCAAAAGTCTATTCATTGAGAAATAAATTAAAACCAATTAAAAGGGTAGTGATTTTGTACTTGCTGTGATTATCCTTGCTTTTGTGTACTTTTTGCATCAAAAGCATTCTTGGTCCACTCTAACTTGAAGTATTTCGGTTAACGTTTGAAATCTTGCCAAACTTTGTCTTGTGGTACCTTCTTTCTACTGACTGACACTTGTGTCCATATTGTGTTTTAAACCTTATTCTGATTACGATGGTTAGTTGTACTTATAAATATGGACAGCCAAACTGTTTGTTCCCAGTGAACGAAGGAATGCAGTGTGATGAGTGTAAAAAGTGGGTCAATAAGATGTGTACCCGTTTAAGTCCCACTACGTACAAAAGGTGCTCGAAGCCTAACTCGCATGTGCTTTGCATGTTTTGCTGTATAAATAAGACGTTGTTAATCCAGGAGGCTATGAACCTAATAGCTTTAACCTGCAAGAAGAAAGATGGTTGTTGTGCTGGTACTGAAGGCGAAGATTGCGTCAGTGTCGTAAGTGCTGTCACGGCACATGCCAGATACCCAACTGTGCAACACAAAATCGAGCTTTCTATCCCGAAACAATTAATCAGCGTTAAACCATTAGATATTTGCGGCCAATTTGCTACAGTAGCGACTGACGATCCTGACAAAACCATTACCGTTCCGAGATGTTGAGACTGATAGGAAATGGATGACGCGGAAACGTAGCCAAAACCACTCCGCCAAAGTCCCAAAGTAGGACATGCACGCGATTTGCAGTTAGTGCAACCTGTGGTCGGAAATGTACTGCCTGAATACGTTTCAGGGGTACATATCACGAAGGTAATACGACTCGGTAAGTGGGTTGGAGGCGAGACCCAACCAAGAAGGATCTTGAAGTTGGCACTCGAGAATTTTAAGGAAAGAGACATAATATTGAAAAACGTACACAAAACTCGTGATTCAAATATTCGCATCCGACTAAATTGGCTGCTTGAGGATCGAATCAAGTAGAAGAATGTTTTTACGGAGTTAAGAACTCGAAAGCTAAATGGCGAAACGAACCTTACCATTAAGGGTCTTCGGGTAGTCAGATCTTGGAAGCCAATGCTTCTGAGACCTGTATGGGTAGAACGAATAATTCCCAAAGCACCTTAAAAGTGTGCTACACGAACGCCCATAATCTTCGAAATGAAGCGTCCGAGCTAAGTCTGATGGTGGATTAATTAAGTCCCGATATAATTGTCGTCACAGAAACTTGGCTCGCCGTAGATATAGACTGTTTTCCCATCATTGCAGGTTACATCTGTATTAGAAGTGATAGTTTTAAGTCGCACGCGAGGAGGCATAATATACGTTAGGGATCATTTTCGTATACAATCAATCATATCCGAGGCACATGTGAGGTAGCATGTTGCGCAATTAAGTCCAGAAACGGGTTAATAACTATAGGGACAATATACCGTATTATTTATTTATATTTTTATTTGAACACATAAATATTGGTACAAGAGGACACCAAATATATATGCGCCGCAAAAAACAATGAGAATTCGAAGAGAAAAAACAAAGGTAAGGAGCGTAAAAGAAAAAAAACAATAACGACCAGATTAGTGTAAGGTAGTGTAATAACAATACTAACAATAATAATAATGGGGGAGACGGAAAAGTACAGTCAGAAATCTTTCAGTTAAGGTAGATTAACCACTTTTGATGAAGAAAGTAAAAGAAGGTTACAGCAGGATCGTCACTGGCTTCTATTCTGAGCCATATCTGGTAACGTCTCTAGCCACTGTGTCGCACCATCTCTCGGATCCCAGCCACGGGCCAAGGAGTCATGTGTTGTCCGTGTTGTCTTGCTGACGACTTGATCTTTAGACACATCTGTTCTTGGAGTAAGACAATGTCTCATCATTGGAGACTTCAAAGTACCGTATATCAACTGGATAGAGCTTACAGCTCCAGGTGAGGGTTTCGATAGCGACCTTCTATCAACCAATATCCGTTGTGCACTTGTACAATGTATCGCAAAACCGAAACATATTGACTTAAAACATGACCCATCATTGCTCGACTTGGTCCTAACACACCACTGTAAGGATGTCATCGACGTTCAGCACCTCCCCCCACAAATGAGTAGTGATTATGCAAGTTGCATCTGCTCCACCCTGCCCCAATATCTGGCGAGCTAATATTCCGGCAATCAGAGACTATGCTATGTCGAATGACTGGTCGGTTGACGTGGATGGATCGATCGAAAACGAATGGAATAAGTTTAAGGCTACATTCGAGTCCGTAACATCACCGTTTATTCCATGGTCAACACGTAAACTATCACATTGCCCACCATGGATTAACAAGGAAACCCGGAAGCCGTTGAAGCGTAGGAAACACTTCTGGGACTTATTCTTGTCAACAGGACACGCATAAAAATATCCAGAAGATATGTAAAGACCACAGCTAAATCCCGTACTACTTACGAACGACAGTTAGTATATGATAGCCGTACTTGTCCGAAACGATTGTTTTCGTATGTTAAACGGCAAACAAAATGTAGTTATAGTATTCCCTCGTTACTGTTACACGGAAATTTAGATTTACTAGCTGAATCAGATTAGGCAAAAGTCGAGACATTTTCAAACTATTTTAGCGAAGTCTACTCTACGTGTATTGTTACAAATACTTGTCCCAATCACACTGAGATATCAGCCATTGGATCTGTACAGGTGGCTGAGGAAACTGTTCTTCCATCGATAACTAACCTCAAACCTTGTGTGATACCGGGTCCTGACAAGTTACATTTACGACTGTTGTCATCTCTTGCGGACATTATTTCAAGACCGCTTGCGACGCTCTTCAACATGTCCCTTTCACTCTCTCAACTCCCTAGAGATTGGAAAGACGCTATAGTCAGTCCTATATTTAAGGATGGTCAGAGGCAGATCGTATCTGACAACCGGCCCGTCAGTCTAACTGGCATAGGCGTTAAGTTACTTGATAAGATAATTCGGGTTAAGTTATTAGGTCACATAGATTCACACAATCTGTTAACTCCTGAGCAACATGGGTTTCGTAACAAGCGTTCATGTTTGACTAACTTACTTATTGCGAGAGAGGATTGGACAGCAGCCCTAGATAAAGGCCTTTCTGTCGATGTAATATTTATAGATTTTAGCAAAGCATTTGACAAGATTTCACACTTAGGTCCTACGCAGAAGCTCTTGAGCTTAGGAATAATAGATGCTGTATAGGAATGGATAGGAAACTTCTTATGTGACCGCAGACAGTGTCAATGGAATGCTATCCGAATGGAAGCCGTTTAAAAGTGGTGTACCCCAAGGCACTACCTTAGGCCCTCTACTTTTCCTTCTCTACATTAATTAATTACTATTGTTGCTCAAGTCTTCGACATTATTGTTTGCGGATGATGTAAACATCTGGAGTCAGTCAGTCAGTAACAACGTAGAACTTCGTACGTACGTACATCAGTTCGAGTTGCCACACCACATTAGCACAGAGATGCAGTTGTCGATTCAAATCCCGTAGTGGTAGAGGTAATAAGAGTATAAGCAGTAATCGGGAAGATTAGGGTTTGGAGATGTTATTTAAAGAGTATAATCCAGTGAAATAAATTTGGAAAGAGGAAAAAAAGGGACATGAAGAATTCAGAAGATTAGAATTTGGGAGAACACAGAGAGTGGATGCACCTGCGCCATTGCAAACGATTTTGAGCCATGTCATTCAGGGTCTCTAACCATCGGTTGCTATCATCTCGCGGTCCCCAACCAGGTAGTCTACACCTACCAACATGACTCAGTTCACTTGTCAGTGACTTCATGGACTTGTGCCATGTTTTGGTTTGGCCGCCCCTAGCTTTCTTCCAACCTACTCCTATACCACTGAACATAGCACGTCGAGGCAGTCGGTCGTTGGGCATACGTAACACGTGTCCCAGCCATCTCAACTGATGAAGTTTCACTACTTCATCAATTGATTTGCCATCCTTACCTAGTACCCGTTTCCTAACAACTGTGTTACTTACTCGATGGTCCCATGATATACGAGCAATGTTTCGAAGACACCTATGATCAAATACTAGTAACCTACGGATATCCTCTACTCTTACCGGCCATGTTTCACTGCCATAAAGTAGGACGGAACGAACTGCTGCGCAGTAAACACGTCCTTTGGTTGATAGACGGATATCTCGCCTACGCCATAAATGACGCAAGTTGGCAAAAGCTAGTCGAGCCTTCTGTATCCGTGCTGAGATTTCGTCACACACTAAACCACAAGGGCTGATGAGACTTCCAAGATAAGTGAAGCGGTCGACACACTCAACTACTTCACTCCCTATCACTAGTTCGGGTGTCGATGTAACCCAATCCTGAAGCAACATTTTGCATTTCGAGGGAGAGAATCGCATCCCGAACATGCTTGCATTGTTGCTTAGAGTGGTCAGAAGACTCTGCATTTTGTCAGCGTCTTCACCAAATAAAACTATGTCATCAGCATATTCTAAGTCAACAAGTGAACCTCCCGGTAGAAGTTCAACCCCTGTAAATTTAGATGAGGAGAGTGTTATCTCTAAAAGTACGTCGACCACAAAGTTGAACAAGAATGGGGAGAGTGGACAGCCCTGACGAACACCACTTGAGGTAATCAATTCTGATGACAGTTCGCCATAAGCTCTCACTCGACCAGTTGTGTTCGAGTAGAGAGCCTTTATAAGGTTAATGTACTTCTTTGGTACTCCTTTCAGTGACAAACACTGCCATAGAACCTCACGATCAATCGAGTCGAATGCCGCCTTAAGGTCGAGAAATACTACCATTGTGGGGCGTCTGAATGTGTGTCTGTGTTCTAGAACCTGACGTAGTGTGAATATCTGATCTATACAACCACGTCCAGGTCGAAAACCAGCCTGGTTTTCTCTAGTCTGCTCTTCACGAGCTTTAGTTAGGCGTCGA